TGGTTATTAGTGGGCTTCCTCTCTGCCCTCCCCCTCACCCACCTCGAATACTTCGGTAACTTCTACGGTCGATCAGGCGTGTGTCTGGCGCTGCACATCACCAACGAGAAGCCAAACGGCTGGGAGTACGCAGTTTTTATTTTCTTAGGTACGGCATCGTTGTTTTGAAATTAATTATATTTACTTCAAAAATTTTTAGCGAAACACTAATTTGAACTAAAAACGATTTTTTTCCTTAATCCCGAGTGAATCATCTTTATCTTTAAAGGAAAAATTATTCATTTCCACAATTACTTTCTCTGTTGTATGTGTATGATGAACTTAAATTAATCTTCTCCCAAACTTGCAAGAACAGGAACTGAGGTACACCAAGTTCATCCACTCATAGGTAAAGTCTCACTAAAGCGCTCCTGCTTATTATATTAGGTGCATTTTTAAACAGAACTTGCAGACTGGGCCTATAAAGCAACGATCTTTTTTACCAAGCAAACAGAACGTGTGTTAAAAGTGAAAATTTATTTAGAAAAACAGGCCTAAACACCACAAAACCAATCAATTTTATTTATCTTTATTAGTGCTGACTATGTTTAGGCTTACCTAAAACTGGGTGGGCTAAGCGAAGTTACATTACTTAATTTTAGTTAACTCTGTATACCGGTTATTTCTGAACAAATCCCCTGTCTCCCATCAAAGTATGGTGACCCAAGACAAAAACAAACACACCATCATTCTTTAAGTGGCTGTTATGTCAAAATGATCGTGCGGAATCTGTTTACCCCTAGTACTGAAGACAGTCGTCAGTGCTGAAATATTCAAATCATCATGTGTGTGAGATTTTCCTGTTCACTGTTAGCTTTTTATGACAACAAAAAATCCACATTCTACCTCCTCTTTAAAGAGAGTTTTCTAGAGAATAAAATCCAATGTGTATATTCTCTTCGAAGTTTAGAAAATATAACTAGGATGTTGTCCTTTACAGTTCTGAACTTGCTGTCATTCGGAGTTATCGCCGTCAGCTACGTTCTGATGTACGTGGCTGCCAAGGACACACAGACAGCTGTACGTACACGTACGGAGTCTGGTGGAGGGGACAGAAATATGGCCAAACGGATGACATTGATCGTAGCAACAGATGCTGCCTGCTGGCTGCCTATCATCTTCCTGGGCATAGCATCTCTCTGTGGCGTCACCATCCCAGCCAAGGTAACATCTCTTTCAAGGTAACATCTCTCCCAAGGTAACATCTCCAACAAGGTAACATCTCTCCCAAGGTAACATCTCTCCCAAGATAACAACCCATTCAAGGCAACCTCCAAGCAAAGGTAACATCCCAGTCAAGGTAACATCCCAGCCAAGGTAACATCCCAGTAAAGGTAACATCCCAGCCAAGGAAACATCCTAGTCAAACTAACATCCCAGATAAGGTAACATTCCAGCCAAGGTAGCATCTCCCCCAAGATAACATCCCAGGAAAGGCAACATCTCTCCCAAGATAACATACATCCCAGTCAAGATAACATCCCAGCCAAGGCATCATTCCAGCCAAAGTAACATCCCAGCTAAGGTAACATCCCAGCCAAGTTAACATCCCAGCCAAGGCAACATCCCAGTCAAGCTAACATCCCAGCCAAGGTAACATACCAACTAAGGTAACATCCCAGCCAAGGTAACAGCCAAGGTAACATCCCAGCCTAGGTAACATCCCAGCCAAGGTAACATCTCAGGCAAGGTAACATCCCAGACAAGCTAAAATCCCAACCGAGGTAACATCCCAGCCAAGGTAACATCCCAGCAAAGGTAACATCTCTCCCAAGATATCATCCCAGAGAAGGTAACATCCTAGCCAAGGTAACATCCCAGTCAAGGTAACATTCCAGCCAAGGTAACATCCCAGCCAAGGTAACATCCCAGCCAAGGCAACATCAAAACCAAGGTAACATCCCAGCCAAGGTAACATCCCAGCCAAGGTAACATCCCAGCCAAGGTAACATCCCAGCCAAGGTAACATCCCATTCAAGCTATAATCACAACCAAGGTAACATCCCAGCCAAGGTAACATCCCAACAAAAATTAACATCTCTCCCAAGATATCATCCCAGAGAAGGTAACATCCCAGCCAATATAACATCCCAGCCAAGGTAACATACCAGCCAAGGCAACATCCCAGCCAAGGAAACATCCCAGCCAAGGTAACATTCCAGCCAAGGTAACATCCCAGCCAAGGTAACATCCCAGCCAAGGCAACATCCCAGTCAAGGTAACATCCCAGCCAAGGTAACATCCCAGTAAAGGTAACATCCCAGCCAAGGTAACATCCCAGCCAAAGTAACATCCCAGCCAAGGTAACATCCCAGCCAAGGTAACATCCCAGTCAAGCTAAAATCCCCCCAACCAAGGTAACATCTCTCCCAAGATATCATCCCAGAGAAGGTAACATGGCAGCCAATGTAACATCCCAGTCAAGCTATAATCAAAACCAAGGTAACATCCCAGCCAAGGTAACATCCCAGCCAAGGTAACATCCCAGCCAAGGCAACATCCCAGCCAAGGTAACATCCCAGCCAAGGTAACATCCCAGTCAAGCTATAATCCCAACCAAGGTAACATCCCAGCCAAGGTAACATCCCAGCAAAGGTAACATCTCTCCCAAGACATCATCCCAGAGAAGGGAACATCCCAGCCAATGTAACATCTCAGCCAAGGTAACATACCAGCCAAGGTAACATCCCAGCAAAGGTAACATCCCAGCCAAGGTAACATCCCAGTCAAGCTAACATCCCAGTTAAGGTAACATTCCAGCCAAGGTAACATCTCTCCCAAGATAACATCCCAGGGAAGGTAACATCCCAACCAAGGCAGCATCTTAGTCAAAGTAACATCTCACTCAAGGTTACATCTCACTCAAGGTAACACCTCACCCAAGGTAACATCTCACTCAAGGTAACATCTCACTCAAAGTAACATCTCACTGAAAGTAACATCTCACTCAAGGTAACATCTCACTCAAGGTAACATCTCACTCAAAGTAATATCTCACTCAAGGTAACATCTCACTCACGGTAACATCTCACTCAAAGTAATATCTCACTCAAGGTAACATCTCACTCAAGGTAACATCACTAAAGGTAACATCTCACTCAAGGTAACATCACTCAAGGTAACATCTCACTCAAGGTAACATCTCACTCAAGGTAACATCACACTCAAGGTAACATCTCACTAAAGGTAACATCTCACTAAAGGTAACATCTCACTAAAGGTAACATCTCACTAAAGGTAACATCTCACTAAAGGTAACATCTCACTAAAGGTAACATCTCACTAAAGGTAACATCTCACTAAAGGTAACATCTCACTCAAAGTAACTTCTCACTAAAGGTAACATCTCACTCAAGGTAACATCTCACTAAAGGTAACATCCCAGCCATGGATGGTACGATGCCAATTTTTGTCCGACATTGATACACAATTTCCGGCTGATACTCAGACGTTTACTGGTTGTTTTTATTTTTAAAATTATAATGACGCTATTCAGTGGTATTAAATAACACAACAAGGTTAAATATTAAGTAACTTAAGTTCCTTGAGATGATAATTTTACTTGGCCTGTTGTGTTAGTTACTGGCTGTCAAAGGCACTTGTCGATAGTGTATGTACTTGTGTGATTATGTGTGTGTGTGTGTGTGTGTGTATGTGTGTGTGTGTGTGTGTGTGTGTGTGTGTGTGTATGTAGTGTGTGTGTGTGTGTGGTCGTGTGCGTGTGCGTGTGCGTGTGTGTGTGTTAGTGTGTGTGTGTGTGTGTGTGTGTGTGTGTGTGTATGTGTATGTATGTGTGTGTGTGTGTGTGTGTGTGTGTGTGTGTGTGTGTGTGTGTGTGTGTGTGTGTGGGTGTGTGTGTGCGTGTGTGTGTGTGTGTGCTCACCTAATTGTGGTTGCAGGGATCGATTCGTAGCTCCTGGACCCTGCCTCTTTATTGGCCGCTACTAGGTCACTCCCTGTTCCGTGAGCTTTATCATACCTCCTCTTTAAGCTATGTAGGGATCCTGCCTCCACTACATCACTTGAGGAAATACTTCCTAACATCTCTGTGACTCATCTGAGTCTTCAGCTTCCAATTGTGACCCCTTGTCGCTGTGTCCTATCACTGAAACATCTACACTCTGTCCACCTTTTCGATTCTTGTCAATACTTTATGTGTTGTTATCATGTCCCCCTTGTCGTTCATCTTCTCCAGTGTCGTCAGGTCAGTTTTCCTTAGCTCCACGACTGTTCCGGCTGCAAACCTTTGCACTTTCTCTAATTTCCTGACTTGCTTGGCCAGTTGTGGGTTCCAAACTGGTGCTGCGTACTCCAATATGGGCCTGACATACACGGTGTACAGGGTCCTGAACGACTCCCTATTGGAATGTCGGAATGCAGTTCTTTGGTTCGGTAGTCGCCCATATGCTGCAGCAGTTATTTGGTTGATGTGCGCCTCGGGAGACGTGCTCGGTATTATTCTCACCCCTAAGATCCTTTTCCTTAAGTGAAGATTGCAGCCTTTGGCACCCTAGACTGTACTCTCTCTCTGCGGTCTTCTTTGCCCTTCCCCAATCTTCATGACTTTGCACCTGGTGGGGTTGAACTCCAGGAGTCAGTTTCTGGACCAGGTCTTCAGCCGGTCCAGATCCCTTTGTAGTCCTGCCTGCTCCTCCTCCGATTGAATTCTCCTCATTAACTTCACATTGTCTGCATACAGGGACACTTCTGAGTCTATTTCTTCCATCATGTCATTCACATATGCCAGAAACAGCACCGTCCTGCGAATGATCTCTCTCTGTAACCCCGCTCTTCACTGGTGCCCACTCTGAAACCTTGTCAACGTACCATGACTCACTGATGCCTTCCTGTCAGGTATTCTCTGATCCATTGAAGTGCCTTTCTTGTTAAACCTACCTGGTCTTCCAGCTTTTGCAATGATCTCTTGTGCGAGACTGTGTCTGAAGCCTTCTTACAGTCAAAGAAAATGCAGTCTACCCAACTCACTCTCTCTGTTGTCTTACTGCTGTCACCTTGTCATAGAAGTACAGTAGGTTTGTGACAGGATTTCCCGTACTTAAATCCGTGCTGCGAATGTCGTTGAATAGCAGTCAGCAGGACTCGATACTGCTTACTGGGGTGGACACATACCCAGGCATCGCTCTAGATCACTCGGCCATCACATATGCTACATAAGCTGGGCAGTATCGTGTCCTGCTGACTGCGATCTTACTCTGTATATACCCGCTTGTGTCTGCGTCGTACATTGATAAAAAAAATCGCTTGTGAGGGCAGAGCATACAGGAGGAGATTGAAATAGCTTGAATCCATGCTTGAGGCTGACTGACGTGCCCGGGCTGGGAGAGAAACATGGCATGTGAACCAGGCTGTCCAGTCGATGTGACATTTGTGATGGCCGAGTGGTCTAGAGCGCTGCCTGGGAATCTGTCCGCCCCAGTAAGCAGTAGCGAGTCCTGCTGAATGCGATCTTTCTCTGTATATATATATATATATATATATAAAATATATATATATATTATATATATATATATATATATATATATATTAAAATATTATATATTATATATAAGATTATGTGGTGAAAGATTGGATATCAGATTGGAGGGAGAGAGTATGGAGGAGGTGAATGTCTTCAGATATTGGGAGTGGACGTGTCAGCGGATGGGTCTATGAAAGATGAGGTGAATCATAGAATTGATGGGGGGAAAAGGGTGAGTGGTGCACTTAGGAGTCTGTGGAGACAAAGAACTTTCCTTGGAGGCAAAGAGGGGAATGTATGAGAGTATGGTTTTACCAACGCTCTTATATGGGTGTGAAGCATGGGTGATGAATGTTGCAGCGAGGAGAAGGATGGAGGCAGTGGAGATGTACATGTCTGAGGGCAATGTGTGGTGTGAATATAATGCAGAGAATTCGTAGTTTTGGAAGTTAGGAGGAGTGCGGGATTACCAAAACTGTTGTCCAGAGGGCTGAGGAAGGGTTGTTGAGGTGTTCGGACATGTAGAGAGAATGGAGCGAAACAGAGTGACTTCAAGAGTGTATCAGTCTGTAGTGGAAGGAAGGCGGGGTAGGGGTCGGCCTAGGAAAGGTTGGAGGGAGGGGGTAAAGGAGGTTTTGTGTGCAAGGGGCTTGGACTTCCAGCAGGCATGCGTGAGCGTGTTTGATAGGAGCGAATGGAGACAAATGGTTTTTAATACTTGACGTGCTGTTGAAGTGTGAGCAAAGTAACATTTATGAAGGGGTTCAGGGAAACCGGCAGGCCGGACTTGAGTCCTGGAGATGGGAAGTACAGTGCCTGCACTCTGAAGGAGGGGTGTTTAATGTTGCAGTTTTAAAAACTGTAGTGCAAAGCTCCCTTCTGGCAAGACAGTGATGGAGTGAATGATGGTGAAAGTTTTTTCTTTTTGGGCCACCCTGCTTGGTGGGAATCGGCCAGTGTGATAATATATATATATTATAAAATATATATATATATTATATATATATATATATCATGTCTTGCTAGAGTGCGCCTACATTACAGTTAAAAAAAGTGTAACAAAACCCGTCCTTCAGAGTGCAGACACTGTACTTACCATCTCCAGGACTCACGTCCGGCCTGCTGGTTCCCCTGAATCCCTTCATAAATGTTACTTTGCTTACATTCCAACAGCACATGAGGTCATAAAAACCATGGTAACACGTGTCCAGAACAACTTCCATTCCAAATAATCTGATCTTTACCTTCAAAAGGCAGATATTTTGAACCCATCCACAACGATGAATGATTCATTCACCAACAAATATCCACATATTTTGGTTTCTGGGGTTTAATGGCTTCAATAATATGGACTTATAATTTACGAAAATTTCATCCTGATTTAATGAATTCCAGAATGCAGAAAAATTTAAACTCATCCAAGATTGAATAACCTACAGTACCTCATACTCCCTTAAGACAGGTGTTTTTTTTTAAACCTTTCTTTACTGCAGGTATCAGTCACGTTTAACAATAAAAAATGTGGTTAATATATTCGGCCTTTGAAGAGACCATCTACAGACGATGAAGAGACTTCTAGTGGTGCCTAAGTTGATATCTGACTCAAGCTGAAATAAATACACCACTGCACTCTTGTTTTCCTAGATAGTGTTGTCCTTGCTTTCTAGAAACATGTATTTCTCAACCACTTTTACAGTGACTAAGCACGTGCTTGTGTTCCCATGACAGATGTTCTCGTGGTAATAGTGACTAACGAAGTTCTTGTGTTGCCATGACAGGTGTTCTCGTGGAAACAGTGACTAACGACGTTCTTGTCTTGCCATGACAGGTGTTCTCGTGGATTGCAGTGTTCGTATTGCCGCTGAACGCCGCCATCAACCCTGTGCTGTACACGTTGTCAACGGCACCTGTGAGGAAGAGACTGCGGCACCTGCGGCGCGGTGTCTCCACTGTACACTCCAAGTCTGCGTCAGCAGTGTCAGGTCAGCAAGTCTATGTCAGCAGTGTCAGGTCAGGTGCTACACCTGCATCCATCTCTCAAGGGAGGGCAAGGTCTTGCTGCTATCCAACACTTCTTGAGTACACTTCACAGTTTTAGAGCAATCTTTCCTTCACTGAATCAAACCTGATTACCTATCACTATAACCATGTAGCTCTTTACAATGTTAATAATGAAATACTACTACTACTACTACTACTACTACTACTACTACTAATAATAATAATAATAATAATAATAATAATAATAATAATTATGATAATAAAAATAATAATAATTACATTTCCAATGTTAATAATGAAATACTACTACTAGTACTACTACTACTACTACCACTACTATTACTACTACTACTATTACTACTACTACTATTACTACTACTGCTACTACCACTACTATTACTACTACTACTATTACTACTACTACTATTACTACTACTACTACTACTACTACCACTACTACCACTACTACTACTACTATTACTACTACTACTATTACTACTACTACTATTACTACTACTACTATTACTACTACTACTACTACTACTATTACTACTACTACTATTACTACTACTATACTACTACACTACTACCACTACTACTACTACTATTACTACTACTACTATTACTACTACTACTACTACCACTACTATTACTACTACTACTATTACTACTACTACTATTACTACTACTACTATACTACTACTACTACTACTACTACTACTACTACTACTACTACTACTACTGCTACTACTACTACTACTACTACTACCACTACTATTTACTACTACTATTATACTACTATACTACTACTACTACTACACTACTACTATACTATACTACTACTGCTACTACTACTACTACTACTACCACCACTACTATTACTACTACTACTATTACTACTACTACTATATACTACTATACTACTACCACTACTACTACTACTATACTACTACTACTATACTAATACTACTACTATATTACTACTATATATTACTACTATTACTACCACTACTACTTATTATACTCTTACTACTACTACTGCTGCTATAGTCTAATACTACTATCTACTACTACTAATAATTATAATATAATAATAATAATAATAATAATAGTTAATAATAATAATTAATAATAATAATAATTTAGAAGGTACAATACAGTTAAGCAGTAGCTGAATTACAAGGATACTGGTATTTGTGAATGCTGGAGAAAATAGAAAGAAGGACCTAGGGACTGAAGAGCAAAATATCAATGCTATTCGTATGAAACCATTAGATTAAGAAAGGGTGTAAAAATTATCTAAGAATAAGCCTGTTAAGTGTAGCTATTAAAGTGCATGATAGAATTATTTTGCATGAGTTAGGGGTAATGCAGAGAGTAGGATTGTAAATAACAAAAAGGCACAATGCTCCCTCCTTCTCTCCTTTTTGTTAGTGTGACTTTGTAAATGGTCCAAGTCGGACCGAAACGTCGCCGTAAGCTCGTCTCTCCTATTTGCGGGTTATTTGTTTGGAGTAGGATTGTAGAAGAACTCTGAAGATATAGGACGGGTAGGGGATATACAGACAAAGTATTTACATTTGAAGCAATTATGTGTCTAGTACTAAGATGAAGGTAAGGAACTGCTTGTCGCATTCGTTGATATAGAAATAATATATATGGAAGCAATAAAGCAGATATTGCAAATTTATAGACTAATCGTATGTTGTAATATAAACAGTATAAAGCATTATGCAGAGAGTAAGACCAACATTATGTTATATAAGAGAGAAGGGGACCATTTTTCAGTAGGCCTCAGACAAGGCTGTGTGATGTTTCCGTAGTTGTTTAATATATTTATAAGAGGCTGTTAAAGAAGTGTTAGGGAGAGGAGCAAGCATAAACGATAATTGAAGTGGGAATTTTCACAGTTGCCCATTGCTGATGACCCGGTACCTAGGAGAGAATCTGAAGACAAGTTGCACAGGTTACTGGAGGGAGGTGGCAGTGTGGATTTCTGTTTTAAAATAACGTCTTGCTTGTCCAGCTGGATTTTTTCATGATGACAGAATATATTTGTCTAAATATCTTCCAGTTAATGCTTTTATTACATCATATATTAATAATCGGTTACTGTTTACTGTTACCAAAGTCATCACTGATAATATCAAGGTGATGAAACTAACAAAAGTTCTAGACCATGAAAGATCAAACAACAGACCGAAGGAAGCGGGGAGGAAGGTAATGATGTCTCAACCGTAGAGTAAATAAAAGTCGCGGTTGTATGAATGATGGTGAATGTGTTTCGTTCTCAGTCACAGTACTTTGCTGGGAGACGACCCAAATACTAAAAATAATAATAATAATAATAATAATAATAATAATAATAATAATAATAATAATAATAATAATAATAATAATAACAATAATAATAATAATAATAATAATCATAGGACTTTGGTTTAAAGTTAATTATATATTTTTACGTACTTAAATGTGTTTGGTTCAAACAATTTCTAAATATGTCACGTACACGTACATACACTCACGTACACATCTGTGAATCTCTCATGTGCACGCTTTTTTTTAAGGTTGACATGTACACTCATGAACACTGACGCTCATTAACACTGCTGTATAGTGTCACGCACATACCCGTGTACACTCTCAATTACACACTTTGCAATATATCTCGTATACGTACTCATTGCCAGGTATACACTATGACGTACATGTCAATTTACATTCACGTATACACCCGTGTACAATCATGTACACTCTCGTATACATTCAGGAGTTAGCCCGTGCTCACATCTGTGCTCATTATGGAACGTGTACACTCGTGTTAACCTATCATAACATGTACACCCGATATAACATTATGTGACATGTATACCGGTGTATACCTATGACAAGACATGTTCTTTCGTATATATCTTACATAACATGATGTACTCTGTATACTCCTTACATGACATGGAGTGTTCTCTCATGTATTCTTTACATGTTATAACGTGTTCTCCCGTGCATACGTTATTAAACATGACGTGTTCATGCGTCTCTGCCCAACATGACAAGACATGAACACGCACGTGTACCTACCCGTTGTCGGATATAAATGTGGGTATAGTGGATATTTGCCTCCACCATTAAAGATAACAATTATTCTCTATTATTAAATACCATCACTGTATTGTGTGACGCCAATAGGAACGACGTTAGTGTTTATGATGAGTAATATATAATATCTTATGAAAAAGAAAGCGTTGGCTGAGGTTTATTCAACAGAGACACTTAAAGATACATACGTTGAAATGCAGTTATTTCACCGTTTATTTCAACTGTTCTGAACTGTGTACGAATTATAATCTACGTGCAGTTATTATCACCTTTTTCTCCAGACAGCTGTGTGACAACTGTCCCCGTTATGTATGCCTCCCAGCACACATAAGGCGGATTGCCAATAGACCCCCGGCTGTCTTTAAGGCGCTGGACAGGCGCCTGAAGTCAGCGCCGTATGTGATACACCATGAGGCCTGGTCTCAGACCGGGCCGCGGGAGTGTTGACCCCCGAAACCCTCTCCAGGTATACTGCAGGCTTGATGTACACTCGTGAGCCACAGTTCAGAGTTGTCGCCAGAGTAATGGTGGTAACGACTCTCACAAACATTCTAACGAACACAAAAAACAAATCCTACAACAAGGCAATGATCGCTGTTTTACACATCATTACACATTAATCTAGCAACATGCTCAAGCAAACTAAAATTATTGAACTATTGTTAATTAGCAAGTTATCTTATTTAGCAAACAAAATCATTAAAAAATATCTTATTTTTTACATTTCTGGGACAAAATAGCGATTTTCAAAATTTGTCCAGACCGAGACGTCAACACTGACGAGCAAGAAGCAGTGTAGAAGCGGACAGGTCCTTTACAGGTCCAGTACGGTAGAGTCAAGCCTCCCGCCTCTAAGGTAATTAATTACCTTATTTGATTTCAAATAACATACAAAATTGCAGAGGCTAATTAAATAATAATGCTTGAGGTAGGCGTAGATAACAGGAGTTGCAACCTAAGATACAGTAACTGAACCTTCAGAGAAACACAGCTTGGTTAACGCTTAGTATATTATGCTGAGAAACTTGTTACTCAGTGTTGCCTCAGCTGCTGCTGAATGTTGCTCGGTTGCTGCTGAATGTTGCCTCAACTGCTGCTGAATGTTGCTCAGTTGCGGCTGAATGTTGCCTCAGCTGCTGCTGAATGTTGTCCAGCTGCTGAATGTTGTCCAGCTGCTGAATGTTGTCCAGCTGCTGCTGAATGTTGCTCAGTTGCTGCTGAATGATGTCCAGCTGCTGCTGAATGTTGCTCAGTTGCTGCTGAATGTTGTCCAGCTGCTGCTAAATGTTGTTCAGTTGCTGCTGAATGTTGCTCAGCTGATGCTGAATTTTGCTCAGCTGCTGTTGAATATTGTCCAGCTGCTGAATGTTGTCCAGCTGCTGAATGTTGTCCAGCTGCTGCTGAATGTTGCCTCAGCTGCAGCTGAATGTTGTCCAGCTGCTGCTGAATGTTGTCCAGCTGCTGCTGAATGTTGTCCAGCTGCTGAATGTTGTCCAGCTGCTGCTGAATGTTGCCTCAGCTGCTGAATGTTGTCCTGCTGCTGCTGAATGTTGCTCAGTTGCTGCTGAATGTTGTCCAGCTGCTGAATGTTGTCCAGCTGCTGCTGAATGTTGCTCAGTTGCTGCTGAATGTTGTCCAGATGCTGCTGAATGTTGCCTCAGCTGCTGCTGAATGTTGTCCAGCTGCTGAATGTTGTCCTGCTGCTGCTGAATGTTGCTCAGTTGCTGCTGAATGTTGTCCAGCTGCTGCTGAACGTTGCTCAGTTGCTGCTGAATGTTGTCCAGCTGCTGAATGTTGTCCAGCTGCTGCTGAATGTTGTCCAGCTGCTGAATATTGCTCAGTTGCTGCTGAATGTTGTCCAGCTGCTGAATGTTGTCCAGCT